AAAAAAAAAAAAAAAAAAAAAAAAAAAAAAAAAAAAAAAAAAAAAAAAAAAAAAAAAAAAAAAAAAAAAAAAAAAAAAAAAAAAAAAAAAGGTTCGATAAACAGCGGAGAAATTGGAAAGCCCTTTAAAAAAATTAAAAGGCACTAGACGGAACAGACTCACTGACATGGATGTAGTATATTTTGTATAAAATTCACGTATACATGGAGCATCGTGATTCCACAAGCATGTATAGGAGAGGCATGGGACAAGGAGTGCATGTTCTTAACACGACCTACGTATACACTGACATTTGTATTCATAACCGGAGTAACCCAAGCTTCGGTATAATATCGCGAAATACTATATTATATGTACACCCCCATTTGTGGTCACACCTCCCCCGCTCCTTATCCCCGTGCTATGCCGTCCTAGACCCGTGAGGCTTGAAGTTGATGATTTGAGGGACGGCAAAATTTCTGAAAAGCCATTATTTCAGAGACGAAAGAAAATAAAGACAGTCAGTCTCCTTCGATAATGAGTTCAGAGTAATTTTTATAAAAAAATATATTGGATCAAAATCTTCAAGCCTAAATCCATCACAGAGCGGTTCCTAATTTGGGGGACGGATGACCGTGCGCCTGATTCGTTTCCAGTTATTTATTTACTTACGGAAATTATAAATGCCATTTTATAAATAAACCTAGTCTGTTTGCAGTGGCGTAAAGATCTAAACTCGCGCCCGGGACACAACACCCCCTATTTTTTCTCTATTTACTCTATTACATTGGCACTAAATTTAAAATATATTTTCCAGAAATTAATTACATATAAAAGAAATAAAAATTATCCAGCATTTTTTTGTTTTGCGTACCATTTGGCGCCCTTTTGTGAGTAGCAATCGGGGCATGATGCTCCCCTTTTTTTCCCTACCTAAGCTGTTAGCCTAGAGAGGCTATATCAGCGTAACCTTAACTAGTAAGTGAGTTCACGGGGCTCAAACCTGACGACGTTGCTAATACGAACCCTAGCAAGAGCCGATCTTCGCAGAATCTACCACCGGATCGGAAACGCGACCCACTGAGAAGATCCGGCGAGAAACTCAGTGGGCTATGCTCCCCATTGTCCTCCCCCCCCCCCCTCGCTACGCCGCTATATGTTTGTTTACGTATTGTTCGTACAGTGCGGGCGTCGGTCGCACGGGCGTGTTCATAACTCTGTCAACGGTGTTGGAGCGTATGCAGTACGAAGGCGTGGTGGATGTATTCCAGACGGTACGCACGCTCCGCACGCAGCGACCCGCCATCGTGCAGACTGAGGTTAGTAACGCCGAATAATAAACCTTTTTAAATTATTTTTTTTAAGTGATTTTATGACCTGGTAACTAAGACCTTTAGGTCATGTCTTATTATAATTTATATTCTTATTTTTATGAAAAATGATAATGCGGAGTGAAATGAAATGAGATGTTAAGGGATGAAATATAATCTCAGTAAAATGGTGGTCATTTACTGGGATTTTTCAGTGCACTTTTTGGAGGAGCCCGAGAAGTTACGTCCAGCAGCTTTGTTTCGTTTTCCCACGTTTGTGCACTTTCACAGATATTAAACAGTTAATAAACTACAGTTATTACACATTTAAATCTGAAGAAACACTAAATAGACAAAATAAAACAAATCACACAACTTCACTCCTCCCGTTCCCGCCGAAAAGTCACCTTTTTATAAGCCCCTAGGCTCAATACGAACACGACAAAAGCACTTTGAGACACGCCGCAAACTCGGGCGCCTTCGAATTACAAATCATAAACACGCTTTTTAGCAACCGTATTGGACCGCAATCAGACGTACCAGTTTGAAGGGAGGGGCGGCCTAGTTTTGTTTCATTGGAATAAAGACATCTCTTATCTAAACGTCGGTTACGCGTGTGGCCCATAGAACCTGGTAACCGTTTAATTTTAGGTGCTATTTAAGCTCATTTAAACTAATAAAAACATTCCCATGCTTACTGCTCATAGTATACATTTGTTTTGATAATGAAATAAAAAAGCATACCGTGTTTAATGTTACGACGACAGCGAATTCAATGCTTACTAATATACCTAGATAATTAAACTAAAATTATATTTAATTTAAATTACTATTACGGTGTAATCTAAAGTTTATTATTAGTGTTCGAAACCTTATAAATATTATAATAACAATAATAATTTTGAGATTAAACCTTAATATTAGATTTGATTATGTCTACGACTCGTGAAAATCGAAGAAAATACTGATACAGTCGTCGTGGCCTAACGGATAAGACGTCCGGTGCATTTCGTGTTGAAGCGATGCACCAGTGTTAAAATCCCGCAGGCGGATACCAATTTTTCTAATGAAATACGTACTCGACAAATGTTCACGACTGACTTCCACGGTGAAGGAATAACATCGTGTAGTAAAAATCAAACCCGCAAAATTATAATTTGCGTAATTACTGGTGGTAGGACCTCTTGTGAGTCCGCGCGGCTGGGTACCACTACCCTGCCTATTTCTGCCGTGAAGCAGTAATGCGTTTCGGTTTGAAGGGTGAGGCAGCCGTTGTAACTATACTTGAGACCTTAGAACTTGTATCTCAAGGTGGGTGGCGCTTTACGTTGTGGACGTCTATGGGCTCCAGTAACCACTTAACACCAGGTGGGCTGTGAGCTCGTCCACCCATCTAAGCAATAAAAAAAAATAAAAAAAACATATGTTAAAATGAATATGAATTTTTAAAGCACACAAGAAACTATTGAACATAACGTAACGTTACATAAGCAAGCTGTTTAAAATAACATAACGTAACGTTACATAAGCATGCTATTTAAAATAACATAACGTAACGAAAGCGTGCTATTTCGCAGGACCAGTACGAGTTCTGCTACCGCGCAGCCCTGGAGTATCTCGGCTCGTTCGATCACTACACCAACTGACGGTGCGATAGGCTCGCTTAAATTGTCGCGCGCTTTCATTATTATTATTATTATGTATGTACTTAATATTGTATATCTCATAATATGGAACTTAGAAGCGCTTTAATGTTCCTGTTAAAACCGACTAACATTTAAAAAAAATAGTATTTTTTAATGATAAACTATGATTTATATTCACAAAACTGCAATCCGGATAATCCAGATAAATAAATACCGATTTTTCTGTGCGCAACGAAAATTCGCTTCTACGTCCCATATTAATATATAGAGGTGAGAAAACAATTTATAGACATGAGTTCAACGTAGTTTGTGTAATCAAACGTAGTCTTAAACTGGCCACTACCCAATGTAATCTTACATTACCAAACTATACCGGCAACGTTCCTCAAATTCATAGTTTCTATTTGGTAGCTAATTATTATATAAAACATTAACATTCGACGTTGTGAAAAAAAAAATTAGTCTAAAACATAATAACTAAAATTATATGTACTCAAAATGTCAAATGATACATTAAAAACTTCTTACAAACAATACGCGGGAAACACGTTCAGTTACGCGCCAATATTTGTGACGCAAAAAACCGTGGTAATGTCAGTGCGTCGATTTGACTGATTATTCAATACGAAACGAGGCTAATTCGTGTATGAGTGAGTGCCTAAGGGATGCTACTTACGATTTATGATTAATAACTATTGTGACCACTATTCAAATCATGATTGTGAGTCGAAAGGGTAATAAACGTAATTAAATTATCCTAATTATCGGAATTATGATAGAAATAAAGCAGGCGTTCACCCTAAACGATACTTTTCGAAACAACGGTCGTAACTCTAACCTCAAAATACAAACAAACAGTATAGAGCTGTTCATACTTTTAATGGCAATAGTTGCCAAAGTAAAAAAACGGCACCCGTTAAATTCCATAAAAACGATTTGAACAAGCATTATTAATAATAATACAACGTGTATTTTAATCAACATAGTCCAATAGTGCGAATAACGTTAAATTATATTTCAACAATGTTACGAAAAGTCGTAATCACAAACACGAATAAGTTAAAACAAACGTGCTAAAAAAACATTCAACAATGTAATACAGTGATTCTCAACCACTGTTCCGCGGCACTTTTGTGTGCCGCCAAATTTCAAAAGTGTGCCGCCAAATTTTGCGACTATATAATAATGTTAATATTATTAAATTATATCATTTTAAAAGAAAAATATTTTAAACATGAATATATATTTAAATCCACAAAAAAAAAAATTATAGTACATTTTAGTTTATTTCGTATATTAATTTTTTTTGTAAACTATTTAAGCAGTGTTGTAGTAAATAAATAATTTATTTTTTTTTGTGTGCCGCCAAATTTTGAAATCGTTAAATATGTGCCGCAACAAAAAAAAGGTTGAGAATCACTGATGTAATAGAACTATGTAATGCGCTTAAAAATCTTGATAACTTCATGCGATAAATAAAATAAAAATAAATACGAAATATTATATCGTGGCAATTAATTATATAAACAGAAGTAATATTGTAAAATGTAAAAAGTTATTGCAGCTATAATTAGATGTTTATTTTTCATATCGTGTGTTAATAACGTTTAAGTAGTTGTAAATTGTGGTAACATGTTTCATTATTGCAATATTATATAACAAGATGATATGTATATTAAAAAAAAAAAAAAACGAATCGGCTGTGTCGAGTGAATATTAAATCCTCTGCGTATTCCGTTATAAAATAACGTGTTATTTTTTATACGAACATTATTTTGCCAATCACAGTTCTCTTGCCCTGATTTAATTGTAATTTCTAAAAAAAACTCACCAGCTTGCTAACTTTAAATAGCATTTACATTAAATTCTGACCTCAACGTATATTTAGTTGTAAAAGACAATGTAAACGTAAAAATGCTTTTCAATTCTTATTATTATTATAATTTCCAATACGCTAATTGCTTGCTTTAGACTTATGATAATAATTCGATCACATATCTATTTCGTAGTTAGATAATCATTTTCGGTCGTAATGGAATCGACTGAGAAAAAAATCATTTTAAATGTAACACATTGAACCCTTTTTAATAAATTGATTAATAAGAACGACTATGTACTAATTAATATATTTATAATGTGACTGCCACAAACTATAATACACTATATTAAGCTATCTTTAAGTGTAGTATGTTTAATCTTTTTAATAATGTAATCTCCCTTGCATAGTGAAACTTTAAGGTTTTTTTTTAGGTTTTTCACTCGTTTTTATACAATAAACCTAATATTGTATCTAAGTAAAATGTTTTTGAGCTTGTAAGTAATTTAGGAAAAAAAAAGTGTGGACGCGCGCTCCGAACGCTACGCGAATAATTTAAAAGATCGAGTCATCATTCGGTCGGTCTGTTTGAATATCTACGAATCATTCTAATTGTGTATAAGTCTTGTTACGTGATTACGTGGCATTGAACGAAATGAACGATCGCAGTCAACAGTATAAAAAAAGTCTGTTGAAACATTAACGAAGACAGACAGACGGACGTAATCAGAAAATTATAATATTTATGGCAGCGCAGCTTTATAAGTTCATAATCATTCCTTATATTTTAAATAATTATTATGCCGTATCACTTATCGCAGCTATAGTAATGGTTAATTTAATTTATTAATTAGTTTTCAGCTCTGTATTCTATTTTTAGATATTACTTTTCTATATGACGTAACGATTCATACGCACACATACGATCTCTTGTACAGAATAACTAACTACACCATAGACTAAGTTTTTTTTTTTATTGCGGACTATTACGTTGACTGTTATAATATCATGTTTCCTAAAACAAATATCGTCTTGGAAAACTATAAAATCTTTTAAACCGTTATAATTGGTTAATAGAATTAATGTTTTATATTTTTTACCAACGTTAGTTTAATAATGAAATTCTACAATTGTTTTCTTATAATATATGTTATCAACTACTTTTTTAATAGTTTTTAAATGTGCTGCTATTATTTATAATTTCAATTTAATTATATCANTCTTCTTGTGATTATATGTTTAACCCCAACTTATTATTGGCATATATACAGAAAATTGGTGGTATTGATAAATTACAAAAGCGGCACCATCTGCTACTCGCATCCGGCCCGCATCGCCGGAACCCTCGGCTTGTACTGCCAATGCAAAGCCATGTCGAGCTAGGCCACATTCCAATACATCTAAAGAGGCCGAAAACAGATATTCTGAGCGATGTTATCCAAATAATTCCTCAGCAAGAAAAACGGGGGGAGGGGGGAACAAGTACAAAGTGGAACGAAAATCAGGAAATAAAAATAAATTACTTAACAGCATTTTCAGGCGGATGTCTAAACTATATCGAAACACCTGGACTCGATCCACCAAACGTAATATTGAAATTAATAATAACTTGATGTCAATCAAAATCCTAAATTTAATTCAATAGAGTTTTAGAACCGGCACCCCCGACACCGTCTTTCATATTTCCTCTTTTCATACTTCCCAAGACCAATAAAAAATCGAATAATTTTCAACCTCAAGGCATTGAACAAGTACATAAAACAGTCGTTTTCACCTTTTCCACCATAAAAGAGTTTCCAATGTTTATAACAGATTGGAATGTCAAACTGGATTTGAGCCAGGCCTATTATCATCTATCAATGAGGTTTCTCGGGATCAGTTATCAGGGTCGTCTACTTTAGATGATATGTCTGTCGGGATCAGTTATCAGGGTCGTCTACTTTAGATGATATGGCTTAGCTGCACCACCGCGGATTTTTGCTTCAATCACAAACTGAATAGCCGAAATACTTCGCCAGAAGGGTCTGCGATTAGTGGTTATCTGCTTATACACCAGGGCAGAACACCTCCCGCCATCGGAGCAGAGCTCATCCATATTATCTGGAACCGCTGCGTTCATTGACAGTGCGTTTCCAGAGGTCTTTTTTGCCACGTACCATCTGGCTATGGAACGAGCTCCCTCCACGGTGTTTCCCGAGCACTGTGACATGTCCTTCTCCAAACGAGGCTTGTGGAGAGAATTAAGCAGTAGACAGCGGCTTGGCTCTGCCCCTGGCGTTGCTGAAGTCCATGGGCGACTGTATCTACTCACCTTCAGGTGAGCCGTATGCTCGTCTGCCTACAAGGGCAAAAGACTTGTTGAAATCTCAAGTAACTATACTGAGACCTTAGAACTCATATCTCAAGGTTGGTGGCGGCATTTACGCTGTAGATGTATATGGCCTCCAGTAACCACTTAGCACCAGGTAAGCTGTGAACTCGTCGACCCATCTCAGCAACCGGTTATGACACAGCTTGATAGACTTTCTGGGAATCGTATGGGACACCAAACCCAAGACATAGTCCCTGCCCAAGAATTTGCTCGTGCGATTTGCTGCCGGCGGTTGGAACCTAAAGCAGGCGCAAAGCCTCTTAGGATATCTCAACTTTGCGACTTTCATCACCCACCGGGGAAAGTTGCTTTGCCGAGTCCTTGCAGTACCACAGCAACAAGCTCAGGAGGTATCCTCATTTACCAAAGCAGTATTCGGACGAGGTACGTACAGAGCTGGATTGGTGGTTAGAGAAAGTCAGTCAGAGGACACCAATTCATCCACAGAGAATGGCCACGAACCACGTCATCACCGACGCGTCGGACATTCAGTGGGGAGCCCTTGTAAANTTCATACGCACACATACGATCTCTTGTACAGAATAACTAACTACACCATAGACTAAGTTTTTTTTTTAATTGCGGACTATTACGTTGACTGTTTTAATATAATATTTCCTAAAACAAATATCGTCTTGAAAAACTATAAAATCTTTTAAACCGTTATAATTGGTTGTAACAACACAACCAATAGAATTAATGTTTTATATTTTTACCAACGTTAGTTTAATAATGAAATTCTACAATTGTTTTCTTATAATCTTATAATATAATTATCAACTACTTTTTAATAGTTTTTAAATGTGCTGCTATTATTTATAATTTCAATTTAATTATATCAATTTTACTTTTCAAATCACGAAGACTGATTTTATCTATTGACGTTTTTGAATGTGTTCGTAATTGTTTTGACACGTTGTTATGTAATAATCACCAAGTATTTTAGTTTTGTTGTAAAATCTCGATTACTAAATATCTACTGGATTTCATTGTTTATTGTTGCAATACAAAGTTCAATTGAACGTCATTACAACAGACTCTAGTTAATTCCTTCACTGCGACTTCTTGATCACAACTTTCAAATAAAATGTCTAATTCAATTAACCTAACCGCTGTCATTATTGATTTTATAAACAAAAACTAATTATTTAATCCGCTATCTCGTACCAGTGTATTTTATTTTTGTAAACAATACAATCCAATCCACTAGTTAATTCAGCTCCTAGCTAGGCATGATACCTGACATAATCTGTCATTTTTATAATTTGGCGGGAACTTTCATTCGTGAGTCTAGAGCTGAAAATTTCTTACGGAATGTATATGACAGAGTGAAATCCCTAGCTTTAAAAAATAATGTAGAGCAATTAATTAATACGGCGTAGGCAATGGAAGGCAGGCGATTTGTGAGTGTACTAGTAGTATGTAGTGTATAATTATTTTGTAAATTAACAGCGCTGCGTCTCATGACACAGCGGATTCGCAAAATTATACATATGTATATGAAGAAATAAATTTATGTGAGACCATACGAGGTGTTTTTATTTATGGCAATTCTATATACCTACCAAATCTGTCTGTCTAATGAATCGTACCTTGGAACTGTACATATAACTTTAGTACTACGCTTCAAGCCGAATCATATTATGATTGCTGCGTGGCATATACAGGTAAGCCCGGGGTACCAAACCATTTTTTTTTTCTATTCTATCAGCCCATGGACGTCCACTGCTGGACATAGGCCTCCCCCAAGCCTCGCCACAAAGACCGGTCCTGCGCTGCCTGCATCCAGCGGATCCAAATACCAAACCATAAGGACTCGCAAAATGTTGCACTTACCAGTAATACTTACCACAGCAATAGTTTATTTTAACCATAACGGCAAATGAAAGACCTTCAAATAAATGGAACATATATATATACAAATAAAATATATTTTGAAAATGTTGTTGACACAAGTCGGATTCTTTTCCTGTTATCTAT